CAGGGGTCACCGGGGCCCCTCGCGCTGTGGTCGGGGATGCCGGGAGGTCCAGGGCTGCCCCCCAGGCAACCAGAGCCCTCAGCACTCTGGCCCACGAGCCGAGAATTCCGTTATCTAGTCCGATAGCGTTCGGGCTGACTCCCGGCCTGGCAGCACCCGACCCCTGGGGTCCCCTGGGATGCGATCATTTCAGAGCGGCCCCCGCGCCGCCTCTCCCAGACCTGGCCGCGGCCTTCAGCTCTCTCTGCCCCTGTGAGCCGAGGGCTGAAGGAACCAGAAGCCCTGGGCCCTGACACGCACTCACCTTCTGGCCCCGTTCCACCCTGCAGTGACTTCTGACAACTCTCTCCATGGAAGGAGGCGGCGGCCGTGATGAGCCTTCAGCCTGCCGGGCAGGGGACGAGAACATGGATAACCCTAAGAAGGAAGGCAAGTCGTAGCTGCTGCAGCGCTGTTGTTGTTCAGGACGTTCAGTAGCGATGGAGGTTGATTTAATGTTTCCTTGAGACATTCTTTCTTTCTCAAGTGCTCATCTGTACTCTGCACCTGTGAGACACATGGCATTTGCTTTTATTTTCTGGTTTTCTTTCACCTCCTCCCCATTTTAAGTTTCATCACAGCCAGGATTCTCATCAGTTTTATTTAGCGCAGTGCCCCCATGCCCTGAACAGTACCTGACACTTTGTGGGCGCTCAAATGTTTATTGTATTGAATTCGATGTTTCCTTTTTTGTTTGTCGCTGGTTTCTGTTTGCTAAGACTTGTCTAGGATCTTTGAGACCATGTTAATGAGTGAGCCTGGCCCAAAACTCCTTTCTTCTTGTGTGTTTGTCTGGTTTGGGTATCAAGGTGAGGGTACGGCTTCACAGAATGAGTTACAGGCCACACCCTCTTTTTCTCTGAAAGCGTTTTTATGTATTTATTTATTTATTGGCGGAGTTTCACTCTGTCACCCAGGCTGGAGTGCAAAGGCGTGATCTGTACTCACTGCAACCTCTGCCTCCTGAGTTGAAGGGATTCTCCTGCCTCAGCCTCCCTAGTAGCTGGGATTACAGGCACCCTCTGCCACACCTGGCTAGTTTTTGTAATTTTAGCAGAGACGGGATTTTGCCACGTTGCCCAGGCTGGTCTTGAACTCCTGAGCTCAGGCAATCTGCCTGCCTCGGCCTCCCAAAGTGCTAGGATTATAGGTGTGAGCCACCTCACCCAGCCTCACAAAGCATTTTGACATCACTTTATCCTTCGGTTCTCACACTACCCAAGGATCCTTTCTTTTTGAGACCGAGTCTCACTCTGCCTACCAGGCTGGAGTGCAATGGCATGATCTTGGCTCACTGCAACCTCTGCCTCTCAGGTTCAAGTGATTCTCCTGCCTCAACCTCCGGAGTAGCTGGGATTACAGGCACCCGCCACCATGTCTCGCTGATTTTTGTTTTTTTAGTAGAGATGGGGTTTTACCATGTTGGCCAGGCTGGTCTCAAACTCCTGACCTCAGGTGATCCACCTTCCTGGGCCTCGCAAAGTACTGGGATTACAGGGGTGAACCACCGCTCCTGGCCCCAAGCATCCTCAATGCCTCCATTTTGCAGGAACTTTAAAGGATGCTTTACAAGATAAAGGAGACTTTACAAATCAATGTTGCATCTTCTTCATGTCTAGAAAGGCGCTTGCCTCTGCACCCCTCTCCTCCTTCCTGTCATGTGCCCTTCCTTTCAAATATGTCCCTTCCACGTGCATACTGCACCCCCTGCTCCTTCTTGAGGCCTTCCCTACTTCCGTTGACCTGGCTTCATTTCCTTACTTTTCCCCTGTCCACTGGATCATGCTCATCCACATACAGATATGTTCCCTTGTCTCACTTGTTGCCACGTCTCCTCCGTTGCCTCTCCATTGCTGTGTTTCTCCTTCCAAGCCAAACTTCGAGAGCTTTCTCACTTTTGTTCTGCCATTTTTTTCCACCTCTCAATCCCTCCCGTTCCGGCTTCCATCCTTACCACTCCATTCAAGCTGCTTTCATCAGTCGCTGACGACTTTCACATTGCCAAATCTCTTGTCATTTTTCTATCTTCAGTCAGCTTTCCAGTAACATTCGTCCTTCTGGAAACTTCCCTTGCTTGGAGTCCAAGGCGCTCTTGGTTTTCCTCCTGCCTCTCTGGCTGGTGTATCTTGTCTCTGTGTGGGCTCCTCCTCCTCTGCCATCTTCTGAGGCTGATTTCCCCAAGACCTGCTCTGGGACAGCTTTGTGCTTTCGCCCTCAGCATTCCCATGGCTGCACAGCGCATCTGCTGTCTGTGGCGCCCAAGTTTTGTGTTGAGCGCAGCCTCTCCTCTGAGCTCTGGGCTTATATATTCACCTGCCTATTTGGTGTCTTCACACACACGTCTCATCTCAAACTCGGCATACCCCGTCTGCATCCGCACGCCCTGTTTTTACCTACTTTATTTCTCCATTTCATCCAGCTGTCCAAACTGAGAACCCCCTACATTCATGCCATCACCAGCTACCATCATCTCCACCTTCAGAATATATCCTGGATCTGTCTACAGACTCTCAATCTACATCCAGATGCTGCTCTCTGGGTCTCAGCCATGCTGTCTCACCCGCTCCTACTTATATATGATTCCCGTTGGCTAGTATGTTCATTTGCAATGCTTCCTTTCAGATACTCTTTCTACACAGAAACGTTATCTTTTAAAAACACAAGTTAGATTATAAAGCTCTTCTCTTTTTTTTTCTTTCTTTTTTTTTTTTGAGACAGTCTCACTGTCAGCCAGGCGAAAGTGCAATGGCGCCTCCACCTCTTGGATTCAAGCGATTCTCCTGCCTCAGCCTCCCAAGTACCTGGGACTACAGGCACCCGCCACCATACCCAGCTAATTTTTTTTTGTATTTTTAGTAGAGACGGGGTTTCACCATGTTAGCCAGGATGGTCTTGATCTCCTGACCTTGTGATCCACCCACCTGGGCCTCCCAAAGTGCTGGGATTACAGGCGTGAGCCACTGCACCCAGAATTTTTTTTTTTTTTTTGAGATGGAGTCTCGTTCTGTCACCAGGCTGGAGTGCAGTGGCACGATCTTGGCTCACTGCAACCTCTGTCTCCCGAGTTCAAGTGATTCTCCTGCCTCAGCCTCCCGAGTAGCTGGGATTACAGGCATGTGCCACCATACCTGGCTAAGTTTGTATTTTTAGTAGAGACGGGGTTTCACCATGTTGGTCAGGATGGTCTCGAACGCCTGACCTCAAGTGATCCACCTGCCTCAGCCTCCCACTGTACTGGGATTACAGGCATGAGCCACCACACCAGGCTTAAAGCTCTTTTCTTAAAGCCCTGTAATAGTTTCCTGTCCCATTCTGGAGAAAATGAAAGCTCCTTGCCGTGGCTTGCAAACCCTCTGTGATCTGAGCCAACTTGTGTTTTCACCTCTTCCAGCCACTCTGACTTCTTCTGACCCCTTCATCTCACACACGCACTTTGGTGTTTTCTCAGAGGTGTTCCCACCTCTACATATCTCTCACCGCACTGCCTGGGGCACCCTCCAGGGCAGGCCGCATGTACCCCAAGTCTGCCTGGCACCTAGTGGAGGATGTAGTCTGTTGTGGGTGCTCATGTGTTTGCAGGCTGAGCAAGTCAGCCAGCCCGGGGCCCCTTGGAGCCAGTCGCAGAGTCTGGAGCAGAAGACTGCTTCCCTGAGTTCTAGGCCTGGATTCTTTTTCCACGCCAGTTGGAAGTTTCTGAAATTGACTTCCTAATTCAGAGGTGTAAAAAGTGAAACGTCTCCCTCTCTATATCTCTTAGTCACTTAGTTGCCCCCTCCAAGGGCCATCGATGTCATCAGTCTCTTGGGTGTCCTTCCAGACATAATCTGTGCAAGTGCAAGCCAACACACACAGAGTGTTGCGCCCCCCCTTTCCATATAGCATGTGTCTTGGTTTTCAGGCGTAATTTATCTTGATGAATATTGTGTATCAACACATGAAGAGCGTTACTAGTTTTTGTTCCTAGAAAGGGTTCCACCATGGGGATGTGTTATTCATCTCATCCGCTGTGGGTGAGCGTTTAGTTTGTGCCTAGTGTCTTGCTGTTACCAGTGATGCTGCTGTAAATAACTGTGGACACCGCATAACGGCACGACACATTGCTTTCCACACCTGCTAGTGTCTGTAGGATACACTCACAAAAGTAGACTTGCTGGGTTGAAGAGGGTGTGTATTTCTTACTTTGATAGGTACTGCCAGGCCCTCTAGAGAGCTGTGATACTTTACACCTTCCCTGGCAGTGTAGGAATTGTCTCTTTCCCCACAACCTTGCCTACAGCTCATAAATCTTTGAGTTTTGAGGTCGGAAGTTCAAGACCAGCCTGACCAACGTGGAGAAACCCTGTCTCTACTAAAAATACAAAATTAGCCAGACATGCTGGTGCATACCTGCAATCCCAGATACTCAAGAGGCTGAGGGTGGAGAATCACTTGAACCCGGGAGGCGGAGGTTGTGGTGAACCGAGATAGCGCCATTGCACTCCAGCCTGAGCAACAAGAGCGAAACTCTGTCCCAAAAAAAGAAAAAAAAAGAATGTTTTGTTTTATTTTCTGTGAACTTTATCTGTTTGTATCCTTTTTCTATCTTTATTAGATTGTTAATTCTTTTATTACTTTGTAGATACACTTCATGAGTTAGCCCTTTATGAATTGAGTTGCAAATATTTTTTCCCCATTTCTTGTTTAACTTATTGTGATTTTTGCCACACAGATGTTACAAATTTTAATGTTTGAAGGTCAATCTTTTATTTTTTATTTGTTTATTTTTTGAGGCAGATTCTCGTTCTGTTGCCTGGGCCTGCATGCAGTGGCAAGATTATGGCTCCCTGCAGCTTTGACCTCCTGAGCTCATGTGATCCTCCCTCCTGAGCCTCCCTAGCAGGGGAGACTACCACGCCCAGCTAATTTTTGTATTTTTTTAGAGACGAGGTCTCCCTGTGTTGCCTCGGCTGGTCTCAAACTTCTGGGCTCAAGCGTCCCTCCCACTTCAGCCTCCCAAAGTGCTGGGATTACAGATGTGAGCCACTGGGCCCAACCAATCAATCTTTGGTAACTTCCGGTTTTGTGTCATAGTTAGATGTCCACATTCCCACGTTATAAAAACTTCCTCATAGCGGCTTCTTGTTTGTTTAGGGCTTTATTTTCTTTTCATTAAGTCCTTGATTTATTTGGAATTTGGCCTGGTGTGGTATGAGGCATGGACCAAACGTAGTTGGTATTTTTCCAGATGATTATATAGTTTATCTCCATACCATTTTTTCACTTTCCCTCTTTTTTTTTTTTTGTTTTTGTTTTTTGTTTTTGTTTTTTGAGACGGAGTCTCGCTCTGTTGCCCAGGCTGGAGTGCAGTGGCGCGATTTCCGCTCACTGCAAGCTCCACCTCCTGGATTCATGCCATTCTCCCGCCTCGGCCTCCTGAGTAGCTGGGACTACAGGCGCCCGCCACCTTGCCTGGCTAATTTTTTGTATTTTTTTGTAGAGACGGGGTTTCACCATGTTGGCCAGGATGGTCTCTCCGTCTCCTGACCTCATTATCTGCCTGCTTCGGCCTCCCAAAGTGCTGGGATTACAGGTGTGAGCCACTGCACCCGGCCAGTTTTGTTTTGTTTTTTGAGACAGGGTCTCGCTCTGTCACCCAGGCTGGTGTACAATGGCACAATCTTGGCTCACTGCAACCTCTGCCTCCCAGGTTCAAGCGATTCTCCTGCCTCAGCCTCCCCAGTAGCTGGGATTACAGGTGCCCACCACCACGCCTGGCTAATTTTTTTTCTTTTAGTAGAGATGGGATTTTGCCACGTTGGCCGGACTGGTCTCGAACTCCTGACCACAAGTGATCCACCTGCCTTAGCCTCCCAAAGTGCTGGGATTATAGGCGTGAGCCACCTTGACCAGCCTGCAGTGTTTATTAAGATAAAAATATTTGTGAGAGAACTTTATAAGCTTTACAGTATTGAGTACATACTGTATTTCAGTGCATTTTGATAAATATTTGCTAAGTGTCCAGGCCCTTAGCTGGACATTTAGGAATTTGGGTTAGTGTTCGACATTGTTATCTTGGAGGAGCTTATAGTCTAGTTGGGGCCAGAGAAGGGTCAAGAGGCACTCACAGAGGCTAGTGCAGTGGTAGAAAGGAGGTCCAGGCACTGCGGGAGCCTTGCGGGGAGCTGGAGCAGGGAGCAGGTGCCCCTGCAGAAGGACCCACTAACCTGGAGCCTGTGATCTGTTTTAGAGGGACCTGGACAGAGAGGTCCTTGCCAGCTGTGATAATAGAATTATGGATGGGGTGGGGTACAGAGTACATTTTGTCTGAGGGTTCAGGAAGGACTCCAAGAAGCAATGGCGGTCAGTGCACTCTTATCGAGTCCCTACTCTGTGCATTTGAGTGATATTAAATTCATTGTTGAACTATAAATAGATGTTTTGTATCTCGTAAGAGGGGAATTTAATTCTAGGGGAGCTGAGGCAGGTGGTCCTTTGAAAATGTTCTATACCTGGAAATGACTTATCTCTTCTTGAAAAGCTAGTTGAATGAGTCAGTGAATGCATTTTAGATTATATCTTAAAAGTAAGGACCTAAGCTTTTGGGTGGCTTAGCGAACATAGAATGGCTGATGCAATTTCTTTTTCTTTTTTTTTTAAGACGGAGTCTCTCTCTCACCTAGGCTGGAATGCAGTGGCGCCATCTCGGCTCACTGCAACTTCCACCTCCTAGATTCAAGCGATTTTCCTGCCTCTGCCTCCAAGTAGCTGGGACTACAGGTGTGCGCTGTCACGCCGAGCTAATGTTTGTATTTTTAGTAGAGACGGGGTTTCACATGTTGACCAGGCTGCTCTCGATCTCTTGACCTCGTGATCTGCCCGCCTCAGCCTCCCACAGTGCTGAGGTTACAGGCGTAAGCCACCGCGCCCAGCCGGCTGTTGCAATTAAAAAAAAAAAAAAAGTGTCCACGTGTGGTGGCTCACACCTGTAACCCCAACACTTTGGGAGGCCATGCCAGGAGGATCACTTGAGGCCAGGAGTTCGAGACCAGCCTGGTCAATATAGCGAGACTTCATCACTAGAAAAAATTTAAAAAAAATTTTTTTTCTTTTTTGAAACGGAGTCTCGCTCTGTCGCCCAGGTTGGAGTGCAGTAGTGCAATCTCGGCTCACTGCAAGCTCCGCCTCCCAGGTTCACTCCATTCTCGTGCCTCAGCCTCCGGAGTAGCTGGGAGTACAGGCGCCCGCCACCACACCCGACTAATTTTTTTGTATTTTTAGTAGAGACGGGGTTTCACTGTGTTAGCCAGGACGGTCTCGATCTCCTGACCTCGTGATCCACCCGCCTCGGCCTCCCAAAGTGCTGGGATTACAGGTGTGAGCTGCCGCGCCCAGCCTAAAAATTTTTTTAAAAAGGAAAAGATCTAACTTAGAGCCCTCTATGAAAAACTAAATTAACATAATGACAGGATACACTTAGGGGAGTGAAATTTCACGGTACCTTTATTTAGTTCTAAGCTATAGAGCCTGGTAATATTTTTCTCTTTATCAGCTGTGGCACTAAAGTAACAGTGGATTTTTCCCCCTAGACATTCTTCTTTTGGCCGATGAAAAATTTGACTTCGATCTTTCATTGTCTTCTTCAAGGTAAACAAATAAGTTTTCTTCCCTTGCCTTGGGCATAACCACATTCAGTAAAGTCTTTCCTTTAAATGCCAGTGTTATGAGTTATTAATAATTTTTTTTTTTTAAATAGTGCAAATGAAGATGATGAAGTCTTCTTCGGACCCGTTGGACATAAAGAAAGATGTATTGCTGCCAGCTTGGAATTAAATAATCTGGTTCCCGAGCAGCCTTCGTTGCCCGTGTCTGAGAGTCCCTTTGCCTGGAGCCCTCTGGCCGGGGAGAAGTTCGTGGAAGTGTACAAAGAAGCTCACTTACTGGCTTTACAGATTGAGAGCAGCAGCCGGAACCAGACGGCCCCAGCTGCCAAGCCTGAAGACCCTCAGAGCCAGGGCGTCGAAAGATTCATACAGGAGTCAAAATTAAAAATAAACCTCTTTGAGAAAGAAAAGGAAATGAAGAAAAGCCCCACGTCTCTTAAAAGGGAGACATACTACCTGTCAGACAGCCCCTTGCTGAGGCCCTCTGTGGGCAAGCCTCGGTTCTTGGCCTCCTCCCCGGCCCTGCCCAGCTCTGGTGCCCAGGCCAGCCTCACCCGGGCGCTGGGGCCTCCACACTCTGCTCATGCTTTGCCCAGGGAGTCATGCACTGCTCCTGCTCCAAGTCAGGCAGCGACTCAGAGGAAGCCCGGGAGCAAATTGCTGCTGCCTCGAGTGGCCTCTGTTAGAGGAAGAAGCATCCCTGGGGCTGCGGAGAAGGTAAATGCCTCAGCAGAGCACCTGTCTGGGGAGCCGCCACTCCTTGCCCCTCAGCCCTCTCACAGAAGCCACATGGGGAAAGCCCCGGAGGTGGCGAGGCTCTGAGGCCTCCGAGGCACAGGAATGGGGAGTCCAGGAAAAGCAGTCACCAATAGGAAGCTGATGTGGGGGCGTCTTGGGTAGGGCTGGGGTGACTTAATACTTCCTCCTAAATTCTATCTGAAGTTGTTCCTTTTGTTTTGTTACACTGCTGGATATACCACACAGTACGGATTTCATTTGCTTTAACAAGCAACCTCTTCCAAAAATTCCCCCTCCTCTGTGATAGCTGCTAGTCAGCCTCCTTGACCGTGCCTCAGTTTACACTGCGTTCCTCCTGGGCATTAAGTGAGGTGAGCTTTCCTGGGAGGTGGCAGTTGACAGGGGTGCCTTTGGGTGCAGTCTGCCAACTCTGGGACACTGAGGGTCCTGGAGGTCTGGGGGAAAGGTGGGGGTGAGCACAGGGCTTGCTGCCAGGGCTGCCCGATCTGGCTCTTGCTTGGGAGAGGGAGGCTGCTCCTCCTGTGGGAGAGGCTGCAGAGAGGAGGACAGGGCGGGTGGGAGCCCCGGGGCCCACCCTGCAGCCCGTTCCCAACTCTGCCCCCTCCCCTGGGCAGCACTTACAGAGGAAGACCCTGGGTGGGGCCATTAGGAGGTACAGGCAAATGCAGAATGCTCAGCAAGGGCCCAGAAATTCCTTTACCCCCACCAAGTCCATCTCCTGAGTCACGTGACTCCCTGTAGTGAGAGCCAAGAATGGAAGCCAGCCGAGGTGCAGCTGCCACACACTGCCCTTGACAAGGAGGTATGTCCGGCACTGCCACCCCGAATAGCTGGGGCCTGTCCCTTGGTCCTGCACACTCCTTTTATTGGAGCCCGTTTGGATGTAAATTCCTACCGTGATGTTTCTAGAATGACAGTGGGATGGGTCTTGCTGTGTGGAGCACACATGGACTCGGGACAGGGATTGTGCATGTAGCATGCGTGGACTCGGGGAGAGAGGTAGTGTGATTTGGGGTGCTTCAGACCCATTGAAGCACCTCCTTTGATCTCCTGGTCCTGAGTGGTGAACTGGGGTCCAGAGAGCTTGTTCCTGGTGGACAGGGCACTGTGCGCACAGCTGAGATGCACTCACGCACACATGGGAGCCCCACCACTTCCTGCATGCTTCTCTGGGAGAAGTCACTCCTAGAGTGGCTCATGGCCCACGCTCACTCCTGTGAGGAGTCATCAGCAATGGGTGGACCACTCGATTGTAACACCTACTTAAAAGTGTGCTTCACAGACAACTGCTAGGATGCCTAAAGGAAGAAGAAAAAGAAAATAACCAGTGTTATTTTGAGGATGAGGATGTGGAGGATGAGGAGAAGGTTGAGGATGTGGAGAAGCTGGAAGCTCACGCACTGCTGGTGGGACCGTGAAACGGTGCAGCTGTTGTGGAAACAGTTTGGCAGCTCCTAGAAAACTAAATTTAGAGGTCCCATGGGACCCAGCAGTTCCACTCCTTAGTACACAGACCTGAGAGAATTGAAGTCATATCCACAGAAAAATCCACATGCAGATGTTCAAAGCAGCATTGTTCATAACAGCCAAAAAAGTAGGACCAACCCAGGCATCCAGCAAATGATGAATGGGTAAAGAAAAGGGGGTCTATCCAGACAATGGTTTATTTTTGGCAACAAGAAGGAACACTGCCGGGTGCTGGGATTACAGGTGTGAGCCACCGTGCCCGGCTGGAAACAGATTCTTTTTAGGAACGTATTTTAGGATTAGCTTGTGCTAGTTGTACAACATAACAGTTCTACTAAAAACCACTGAAGTGTACTGTTTAAAATAGTGAATTTTACGTTATGAGAAGTATCTCAGGTTTTAGAAATGCTATAAAGGGAAAAAGTTACTGCTGCATCTTTACCACTCTGAGCTTCTATTGCTGTTACCTTATTACCCCTGCTGTCATAAGGGGCTATTTATGTAAGTATGAATTCGTTCCATGAATGCCCTTGTCCCTAAATATGTCAGGAACTTATTTTTTGACTCTTCTGGTCAAAGAAAATGGCTTTCAATACTAGACCAAGAGGATACATTGCAATTGTGCAGCTTCTCTGGTAGAGATGACCATTTAATGGATGAGTCTTTTCTGTACAGCAGTTTAAAATTTGTGTAACTAGACCAGCTCTCTCATTATCATTCTTAAATAAGGATCTTGACTGGGGAACAGCTTTAGAAGACCGCTTTCCTATTAATGACCTGTGTCGGTATCATTTGATGCTGTTTTTAATGAGGAAGCAAAATCCATCATCGCTTTTGTCCACAGTGATTTGGTGGAGGATGTGAACTGCTTGCTCTATTCCCTTCAATCTAGCTGATGAATGGAGGAGCATGTGTAGCATTTGGGATGATAGTGCCTGGGCTTGCTTTAAATTGAAGCCTGAGTATCTCTGTACATTGTTAAGGACTAGACAGTTCTCACAGTTCAAATTAAATTTTTCAGCCCAAGAAAGAGATTCCAGCTAGTCCTTCCAGGACAAAAATCCCAGCCGAGAAGGAATTCCACCGGGATGTTCTCCCTGAGAAATCTGCCCCGGGTGCTGTCAGTGTGCCGGCCGCTGGAAGCCACTTGGGCCAGGGCAAGCGGGCGATCCCTGTTCCAAATAAGGTGAGTTGGCTGCTGGGGCCCAGACTTGTGGTTGCTGGGAATGAGGTGGCAGCTGTGTGTACAAGTGCTTTGGATTAAAATCAGTGGCTCATACCTATGATCCCAGCATTTTGGGAGGCCAAGATGGGAGGATCACTTGAGCCCGAGAGTTCAAGACCATCCTGAGCAACATGATGAAACCCATCTCTCCAAAAAATACAAAAATTAGCTGGGCGTGGTGGTACGCACCTGTAGTCCCAGCTACTCGGGAGGCTGAGGTGGGATGATTGCTTGAGCCCGGGAGGTCGAGGCTGCAGTGAGTCATAATCATGCACTGCACTCCAGGTTGGGTGACAGAACGAGACCCTGTCTCAAAAAAAAAAAAAAAAAAAAATAGAGGTGGAAAAGTTGAAAATACACCCACGAGAGGCAGCCTGCAAAATACATGCAAAGAATACTGGCTTCACAGTGTGCACTGATGGCTGGCCTCTGCCCTGGGAGCTGTGTGGGTTGGGAAAAGTCAGCGTCTCAGAACCCTAGTTCGTAGGTGGGGATATTCCGTTTCCCTCATGTCGGGTCCTTGAACAGATGACGTGACATGTTGATGTTTTGAAAACAGCGGCTGGGTGTGGTGGCTCACACATGTAATCTTAGCACTTTGGGAGGCTGAGGCGGGAGGATCACTTGAGCCCAGGAGTTTGAGACCAGCCTGGGCAACATAGTGAGACCCCCATCTCTACTAAAAAATAAAAATAATCAGCCAGGCACGGTGGTGCATGCCTGTGG